CTTTGATTACACTTAATTGCCCTGATATCGTTTATAGAATTAAATTTGCAGAACCTTCTTTGTGTTCGACAATCTAATGCACTTTGTGAACGTATTTTAAATTATACGTCCGTGCATATGAACAATGTAAATTCAAAGATATGTGTGAAGTCAACCAACCCGCACTTGGCCAGTGTGGTTGACTATGGCCTAATCACCCTTAGCTTAGGGTAGGCTCCGAGCCCCTCGGTGGATACGTATAGTGAGCTGATGATGTTGAAATTTAAATTTAGACTTTCCAAATCATCATCGGCTTTTTTTTGGCAAATCTACCTCTACCAAATCACTGTAATAAAGTCATTGTTACTATCTCTGTTTTATAGAATATAAAAGTGAGATTATGTAATTTTTGTAAAGCTTAATTTAATGTGCAAAAACACTGAGCAGATTTGAAGTTATTAAGTTCAGTTGTGTTGTGTATTCGTTGTTTGTTAGCGGGGCTTCACACGGGCGTTTTAGTCGCACAGCCTACTTGTTACCGATATAGAAAACTGGAACAGAGTAATGACATGAACTCGGTTTGTACGATGCACTCGGATATTGTCTATCAGATAATTGGTTAGAATTGCATTTACTTTAAGACGGCTCTGCATAGACTGGTGAGGAAATTGTGTTGAAGTGATTTCCTGATTCAAAGTGCTATGTAAAGTTGTCACTTTAGATCTATGCGTGTTTGAACCTAGTTGAACGTTCGCGTGATTTACATACACGTTTATTAAAGTCTTGCGGTCAATGAACTTCTTTTTGTTATGATTTCGCTTTCGATGCGTTTACCTCGCTTAAGAATTGTTTAAATAGAAGTCAGATCTCGATATTACATTACATTATGCATCTCAGTAACGAAAAAGAAACAAGATTTACTGTATTACTACAAAGGTAGAGGAAGACCAATAAAAGTATGTATATGTATACGATGCATATGATTAGAAAAAGGGGTAGATTCATATATGACGGCTGATAGAGATTTATGGAAAAGTTTATTATTATGAGCTTGCTGTTAAGAAGTTTCTTTAATATAATTTTTATGTCCAAAAAAACATGTTTCGAGTATCTTGGTATATGATTTAATCTTTTAAATAGAAGAAACAAGACGTTATTAAATTGTTATTTTACAAATACAAAAACATAAACAAAATATATTGTATGAAAATTGAAATGAAATAGTCCATTTTGTAAGATATATCTAGAAATATTATTCTAACAATACACATTGTAATATGACTTAAATTATATTAAATGTTGAAGAGCTAGACGATATTGCTTTCACCCTTGAGATTTCGCCCTCGCACTGTCTGCGTCTCAAGATGATATCAATACTTGTTTACCCTCTACTATTTACGTAAGCCATTATCTTTTGCTTCGACTTATAAAGAAGTCTGTAAAAACAATATCATAATGTTACTGTAACTCCATTTTTACAAACGTCGTCAACAAGAGTTGTTCGCAATTCGACACGCATGTTTCAACTGTACTGTACAGTTCGCGTTTTTGTAAATAAGTAAAACATACTTAGGTATAGAATGCTAAACAAGACAATTTAGTAGCCTGTGTTCTTCCAGATTGATATGTATACCAAATTTCATCGAGCCCTGTTAAGCCGTTCTAGAGATACTTTCAAACAAACATCCATCTAAACATTGGCATTTATAATATTAGTAATATTTCACCGATGTATAAAAACTGCAAATGCACAGTAAGAAGATAAAAATATGTTTATAGATTATGTAACATAAGAGTAGGTTAAGCGCAAAGTTTCGATAAACACATTGAGTATATAATAAATATTTTCTTTGTCTATAACATAAATATTTCACAAGAAGATTCAAGTCAATCTATAAATGAAAACAATGAGTACATAAAGATAGCGTCGGCATAAACATATTTACAACAAAAATAATTATATTTTCGATAACGACATGTGTCATATCGATATTTTTAAATTTTATTTATATGATATTATTGCTTTAGGGACACAAATTACAAGCTTGTTACAGCTTACAATGTATTTATAAGTATTAGGGAAAGGTCTGATTCGTTTTTGTCAAAAACTTTTTGTGATTTTCAAAGTCTGCTAAAAAGATTTTTATAAATTATAAATGTTAAAATTTAAATATCATATTTCAACTATGATATTATAAACTGAATAAAGTTTTATCTTCTATAACTTGTGCTCATTAGTCACTTGAAATTTTGATTTTATGTTACGTATTACCTACGATCAATATTGATTGAACATTGCTTTGTTATTCTTGAAGGACGTCTGGAGAAAGACAAACAAAAGATAGCGAGTGCGTGCGATTTATTGCTTTCGTTCCAATTAAGTACTCGTATTATTGATGCTGCGGAGAAATCGTATCACAGATGTCAAAACATATTTGAGTTATTGTAACGATATCTTACAGGTTGGACTTTAGGCTACGCAATTAATACAATGATTTAAAATTATCGCGCAATAAAATTGTTGTCGTCCTGGTACTATAAGGACATTCGTACTGAAAGTACTTGACAATAAGACGACATCCAGCTATTCCACTTCGATTCGCCAAGAATTATTTTGTCAATCAAAGCATTCAGTTTCTAAAGTATATCAAGCAATCACAAAAATATTGAATATTTATCATCAAAATGCTAACTAAACATGTATTTAAACGGTAATTTTTTTAAATTGCCGTTTATACGTGTCTTTTTAATTTATTTTATGTTCGTTCTGAACCATAACTGTGTGGAATTAACAATTGAATACCATAAAAAATATTTGCTGTGCGATATTGATTGGGTAGCGTTTTTTGTGGGGCAGAAATCAACATCAACCCCTGCGCTGCACGTCAGAACTCCGGGCAATTCTATATTTAGAAAGATTCGAGAAACCTCGATCCTTTGTAACACGTTTTGGCCTGTCGCGACTCTGTTTACATTGTGTGTTAATTTGTGACTTCGTGTTATCAATACAAAAGTAGAATCGCTTAATTGTTGTTTTGCAATTTACGTATCACTTTATTTCATTTGAGAAAATATAAATTATATAAAAACATGCACATATTCTCATCTCATTAATAAATGTGTAATTTCGATGAATGTATGAATGTTTTTTCCTCGCAAATTTTGTCAGAACGGAGTTAGTTAATATTTAAGTAATATTACAATATGGAATAGCATACCTATTCTTAGTTGATTAGTTCACCAAGTCACGCCTATGAAGTATCGTTTTTTTGGTTGATGGATGTTTTAGCTAAGGTACCGCTAGGTCTACAATATTCGTGTATACGGTACAAATAAGTTTTTTTTTTAATCCACGCGGAGGACATCGCGTGCTAGAGCTAGTACTTTAATAAATATTATAGAATTTGCTTTACTAAGCAATATTGAATGAAGTCAGATTCAATTTGATTATTCAATCTAGGCGGTATAGAAATCTTGAATAGGATTCAATTAATGCGTTACACAGAGATTCAAATGTAATAACAAGACAGGGATTTGATACTCGAGTGTGTATGTCGTTGCATAGAAGCGAGATGTTAGTAGGTGTGTACTGTTGCTGGGGTGGCAGTTGCCGGGGTGTAGAGAGAGCGGGGTGCAGGGTGGGGGGTGCGGGGCGGCGGCGGGGTTCGACCGGCCGGTGAACCTAGCCTGTCGAAATCAATACAGCTGCTCCCTGCGCTCGTCTCGAGCTCGTTGCTACGGCAACGCGCCGAGATAAGCCACACCACCTCTACCCCCCCAACACGACTACGACGAATTGAACTACCAACGCATTTGTGAAATATCATTTTATGATTTAAGTTTCAACGTATATACATTTCAAAGGAATATTACTAACACATTCTTTTATATAAATTCGAAATTGTAGATTATAATAATAAATATATACTAAATAGTTCTCTGAATCTAAATTAACCAAGAGTAAAAGAAAGGCATGAATCCATAATCGTACAGTAAGTCTATAGGTATTCGATAAAATTTTAAAATGGCTTCCATTGTGAACAGGCGACTTACAATGAATCAATATTCTTGAGTACGTCTTTCCCGCAGGCATTGTAAGTGTTTAAAAATGCATTCAAAGTATGTACAGGACAATGCGTCTGTCGGGGCTATGTACTATGATGCAACAATGACAGGGGACGTCGCCCCCGGCGGCGCTACGCCCAGACACCCCTAGCCACCCTTCGCACCTCGCCAATCCCTTCCACCCACAACCCCCGTCCAGTTGTCCGGACGTAACCCTCGGCCACACTTGTTAGTTTTCAAATGCATATCGCATTGATATCAAAAGTGCCAGTTGCTGCCAATCAATATTTATTCAACAAAAAAAAACTTCGAATACACAAGAGTCGAAATTAAAATTTTATTACAAAAATAAATAAGAAAAAAAGGAATACAAATATATATATTTTTAATCGCAATAATAATATAGAGTAATTTCTAATTACGAAACACTTTTTCCAAAAAAAAATTTAAATTCTTGCGCAAAACAGCTCTTAAAAATTATTTTGAAGTAAACAAGCTTTCGTGAAGTATCCAATTATCAAATAGCTATTAATCATTGTCTATATTAACTTTATAAATGTCGCAGCTGCAAATTAAGCGCTCTAAGTAGGACAGACTTGATAATGACAGTAAGTAAAGTGTAAATCATATAGAAACTATGATTGCTTTGTGGATTCCTGCATTCAATATAATGTGAAAACGCGTATTTGTTGCGTATTAATAACGCAAATAATCATTGCTGCGCGCAAACTGTTCAATCATTAAAATGCTTATGCTTATTACCAATAAAATGAATTATAATTATTTAACTTGTCTCAAAAAATGTGCGGAGCGTTATTACGTTGTACCCTCTAAACGTTCTCGATGTCGAATGCATATGCGCAAAAGTATAGATATCACAAAGTGATTGAAATATATTTTTGTACAGATTTTTTGTGTGTCATGATATATTTTTAACATGCGATAACTTTTCACAGAACGTGGACCATAAGTCCAAATTCCGATCCAAGAAAGGCCAACTGCCGTTCGTCGAACTGAACGGAGAGGAAATTGCTGACAGTGCTATTATTGTCAAAGAGCTCTCAAAGAAATTTGATAAAAACCTTGATGCCGGTAAGTGACGCTAATAATTTCTTTTAAATATTTTATTTATTTATTTCAGTTCCATGTCATGACTGGCTGTCGCCGGCGACTCCGTCTGCTCGGATTTAAAAATAAACTTAATGAATGGCCTTTGTGTTCTTCCTCACTATATTCTACATCTATGACAAATTTCAGCGAGATCCATGCAGCCGTTCTCGTTTTTTTTTCACTTATATTGTTTAAAGGACCCAAAAGTGTTTCAACGCTTTAGTTGATTGACGTGACTGACAGTGAGCCGATAACGTTATATCGTCATATCTAACTTTATAATAACCCCCTTGTTCCCGGACGTCCTGAACACTGGGTTATCGTAACTTTATTTGTAACTTTGTACATCGAAACATATACAAAATATATAAAAAGGGTCTTCACAGACAGACGGACGGACAACAAAGTGATCCTATAAGGGTTCCGTTTTTTTCCTATGAGGTACGGAACCCTAAAGAGATTAAAAATGTTAATAATATTTAGGTCAGGTCAATCAATACTGAATGTTAAAAGTTACCGTCAAAAGCTACAACATATGCCCGACCTATTTAAAACTCAATGCACTAAGGACCCTTTTCACTAACCCACTCGACGCATCTCGTAACGCGACTGCTGTTTTCCAATTAAAGAGTCTCTAGTGGAAATTTAACCTAAATTCCTCATATGCACGCGGCAGAGTCGAACGACTAATCACACCGGTGAAACACGGGTTTTAATCTGTTTACCAGGGGTGGAGAGAGATTGTCTGTTAAAAAAGCTCGGGCGACCTAAATCAGGCAACCTGGATATTTAGCGCATGTGCAGCGAGCATGACGAGAGAGATTTTACCTTTACTACATTTTGTTTTTTTTACTTTAAGCTCACTTTATGTTAACTAAGTAAATCGCACAAATCAAAAAGGTATTTTGTACAGTGAGTTTCAACTGCCGTGACATTTTTAGTAACATATCGTCATCTCTTTCATTTTACCGACTACATATAGACTACAATGTGAATTAATACTTTCAGGGCAAATTCTCACGTAGCGTAAAAACAAAACTGGATGTTATATATTTAATTTATGCAGATATTTTGTGTTCCATTGTTTACATGTGCTTTCTGTTGTAGGCTTGACCCCGGTACAGCGTGGTATTTCCCACGCTATGGTATCAATGATTGAGAACCACTTCTCATGGGTTGTTCTGTGGTGGCGTGCCAAGTATCCGGAAAGCATGATAAAAGGATACCAAGTTAATCTTCGTAATGCCCTTAACACTCGCCTGCCGAATCCGATTTTGAATATTTGCTTCAAATTCACAGCTGCACGCAAGGTACGTTATTTCATTATCGTATGTCCATCAATTATTTAGAGTATTATTAGTATCCCCTAGGGTTGACGCTTTCGGCTGGGGGTAGTGGTGCTAGCGAATGATAACATTGAAAGTTAACAACTAGAAGTGGTCTCGCGTTATAAATAACAGCTGATTGAAGGATGTCGAACCCAGGACCTAATATTCTAGACCACTAATTTAAAGCTAGCTTAAGTCAATCTTTATTATCTTAATTCTGTCCACTTATCCCTTATAAGACATAAAATTATGAATTCAATATTTAAACTTTTACAAAGTAAAATTATTTTTTGGTAAATGACAAGTGATATTTCAATTGCACTTTTTGTCAGAACTAAATTGATTTTTATAATCATGCAATATAATTAGTATTGTGTGTAAAAAAATATAGTTTTTTTTGTTTAGTTAATTTTTAAACGAGTATATTATTTATTATTGTTTACATTATTTAGTTACTTGTTTATGTGGACGTCGGTTTCTGCCTGGACCGTACATTTTTCTATGTCTTATCGATATTCTATTTTTAGTTTGTCGGGTGTTTGACCTCACTATACTAAACAAAACTTAAATGCTACAACTTTGTTATTGTTTACCATGTAAGCTTTTAAAGAAACATATCGTTTGGTGAAATAAGTTTCTAGGGAAACAAATGCACGTAGCTTAAGCTTAGATTTATCATACTAAGTCTACACTAAGGGTTTGTATTAGTATTCTTAGTTTTCACCTAGCTGTGCATCACTTACACTTACACAGTAATAGTAGTCGATTCTTAAAATCGATTTTTTTATTAGAAATATTTTATATGAATGGAAAAACATACAGAAACACAGAAAATGGACCAATCGCCCTCAAACTAATAAGATCCGGTTTATCGATCGTTATTTTTAGATCGGTTTGGGCAGAAGCAAATTAATTGAAAATATGATTTACAAAATATAGCAGGTAACGAATATATATAAAATCAGCTGTTGGCCATCATTTAAACTGTAATATTAATTGTAACATATTTGAAACAATCTAGAATTATTCGGTAGTCAAGAACGTCGTTGTCTTCCTGTCCTTGTCCCCCTCTACGTGGGGTGCACCAGATTTTCCTTTCCTTAATCCATCTGATCATCAACCTACCTTATGTCGGCACAGTATGTACTCGTCCGTACATCTCTATCGGCCGTCATATCTGAATACATCCCCTTACGCATATCCTCTTCTCACACAATCCATCCATATTTTCTTTGGTCTTTCTCTATCTTTATAGGCACTAGTCAATCGTCATTCCAGTCTCAGTTCCTTCTCAATCATGTCAGCTTTCATGGAATCCTATGCCTTAGCGGTCTATCTTTCCATTCAGCTTTGAAAATCTCTATGTCAATTGAAATTCCTTTCCCCTCATAACATGGCCTTACCGATCTAACATACCTATGCTAGTAATCTGGAACATGATAATATTTAGAAGCGCGTGACACGTGTGCATAAAATTGGCTATAGGACCTTGAGCATGGGTTATCTGATTTCAAATTGTGTTTGCTCCACGAGGATATGATAACAAATCGTATTTTTTTGTTATTCATATAAGCTAATATACATTCATTGTTAAAAGACGTTCATTTTTTTCTTTTTTATCGTAACTTCGTATCTAGTTTTCTTTGTGTTGGTTTGTTATGATTTAAATTTTATTTTAATGTAAGAATATCATGACTAAAATTTATAAAATTGTGCTAGAATAATTTGCTTAAAGAGAAACATCGTTGAAAAATTAATTAAGTTCGTAAAGTGCTTAGTAATGTGGTTTTATGTTTATTACAAACTACGGTGGACTAAATGTTGTCAAAGATTTTCCTCTTATATTTTCATTAATATCATTTACTATATGTGAATATTTCTTTTCTTTGCAGCGACAAATATCCAATATATTAGCCAAAGGTTTAAAACGGCCTCATAGTGATAACATGTATCCATATAAGGAAAGCATTGATATGAATTCTAGCTTCTGCTTTAAATAATTAAATTTATTTATGAGCATCTTATGGAAATAGCAAAGAGGATTGGTGGCTCAGATGTTTAGCACCAAACCTGTAACCTGCAGGTCCGGGTTCGAACCCCGACATATACCAATGTGTTTTTCGATTTTCGAATTTCATATGTATATTCGACGCTCTGGGTTTCGACTGCAGGATAACTTGTATTAATACATATAACAGTCTCTGTTTTCTCAAAGAGAATGTAAGGGATGGCAATATGTATTAATATGAGCAATGCATTGAGGCGTTATGTGATGACGATGATGGAAAACAACGTGATGCGACCTGAACTAATCTGCGAAGAAATTCAAAGATGTAGTCAACCAATTGTGATGCACTGGTCAGCGCGGTCGAGTAAGGCCAAGTCACCCGTAACTTAGGTTATGCTCCGAGACCCTCCGTGGGGACTAATATAAGCTGACAACATGTGACAAGTATAGTTTTAAACATGAATGTGTAAGAGGTATATGGGTAGGTGTAGATCTAAGAGATGAATGGATTGCTTGAAAGGTGACGTGATGAAGGAGGTAGTGGCGACATTAATGAATGGTCGATTTGGAAGATTTTGTTGTGCTGATCATACAAATTATGGAACTAACCTGAAACTAAAGTGGCTATGATAGAAAATAAACATTTTCATATAACAAACGAAACATGTTTGAAGTCATTATGTACTTACTAGCGATCGCTCGGAAATCCGTTCGCGCGGAATTTAAAAAAAACATAATTAGTAGCCTATGTGTTCTTCCAGCCTTTGTTTTATATGCGTGCCAAATTTTATCGAGATATGTTTAGCCGTTTCGGAGATACCTTCAAAAATCCATCCATCTATCTAAACATTTGCATTTATGTTATTAGTAGAAAGTTAGATGCTTGTATGTTGTATTGATGTTAAGCATTTATACGGTAGTTAAATAGATAAATGGATGGAATTAGTCAAAAATGTTACGTAGACCACTTTAGTTACAAGTTAACCAATTATGGCTTTGTGTGTAATTTTATTGAAAGAAATGATTCGTAAAGCAACTGTATTGTTTGTAATTTTACTAAGAGAAAGGATTCGTAAAGAAACAATTTAAGGATTTATTTGAACAAAATAGTGCAATAATATTTCTGAGCAAAACTGATGCAATAATGAACGTATGGTTTGATTGGTCGATTACAAATGAAAAGCATAAATAAGTTTTGTATTTTAATTTGCAAATGAATGTATTGCTTTTGCATGGCTTTTCAAAATCTTCATAATATTTTAAATTATTAATTTTATACCTTTAGGGGATGAAAAAGGCCAAGGCGCATGGCATCGGCCTTCACACCGAGGAAGAGATACTTGATTTTGGAAGGTATGACATGCGCGTGCTGTCCGAATTTCTCGAAGACAAGCCTTACTTCTTTGGTGATGAACCTACCCTGGTAAGTTTTTTATTTCGTCCGTTAGTAATGATAAAGGTTTTTTATAAATGCATTCAATATTTATAAGAAACAATATCGTTTGTGTGTTAAAATTATTCCAGGAAGGTATTTTATCGATGTGATATGTACGTGTATATTAAGCAACATTAATTATAACTATAAACATTTCAATGGAACGGAAAGGATGTTGCTGATTGTTATTGTAAGAATCAACAAAAATGTTTACGAAGTCTTATCAGATATTGATCAATCAATTTTTGTTATTCGTCTAAGTTGACGAGGGCTATGAACTTACATGCATTTATAATATTAGTAAGTTAACTAAAAGCAGCTCTTCAAGGCATAAATTCGAAAAAAAATGAACACAACTTTCTTATATATGTTATATTATATATATATATATATATATATACATATATATTACACTACTTATAACTCAAGAACGGCTTTACTGATACGGCAGAAAATTGGTGAGGTAGCTTAGAGGCAAGAGACGGACATAGGATACTATTTGTTCATTTTTTTTTTCGAATTTATGCCTATAAGTAAGACTATTAACGAATTTAGTCTTAAATTATTTGATAAAAACATAATCGATAAAAAAATTTTAGGAATTTTTTTAATGTCCGCTCTATAAATTATTTATGTGAAACTCTATAGTCACCATTTTCGTAAATTAGTTACTCGCATTCACTAAAATTCTCTTTGTTTTGTGTAAAACTTTTACTTTCATAATAAAACAGATTGCAACGTACGAGAATTTAAATTACAATGCAAATGTGTACCTTAGCTCTCTTAATATAAGAGCTAATATAACACAAAGAATTGAGCACTCAGCTAATTGCTGCAGCCCGCAAAAAATGTTTCTATATGTACATATATTCGTTGTTTTCTAAATTTAACTTTGCTAAATGTTCGTGTATTTTCGAATTATGGCTACTTAATTTATAATTATCAGATTTGTAACACTAAACAATTATTTTTTGGATCCTGAGAAAACTATGTAAAAGAATTAGATTTTTTGGACATCGTAAAATTATGTAGCAATACCAAAAATGTTTTTGGAAATATGCCTATGTCACAGATTTATATTTATCACGGTGTATAACGGACGCTTTTTAACGTGTCGTTAAATAAGGCCATGCGAATCGAATACGAACTTACCGTGAGTTTCTAACAACAACAAATCTATCTTTAAATATATAGCAGGGTTGGTAATAATCAAAATAATCATTCAACAGTTGGACGTGGTAGCGTTCGCCAATCTTGCTCAGCTGTATTTCATCGACAAGGAGGAGGAGCATCCTCTGCGCGATTTTATGAACGAATGTTACCCCAACTTGGTTGGCCTTGTCAACCGCGTGAAGGAGCGCGCTTTCCCCGACTGGGATGACATCTGCCGGATGATCGATGTGAACGCTCAGGTCGCCAAGCCAAAGGAGCAGGGGAAGGAGACTAAGGAGGGCACCGGCCCTGCTGAAAAGCAGCCGTTGGCCGATGATGCCGAGAAGGGAAAGGTAAAATAAAAACACACGTACACTTTGACTTATTTGAGACATAAACCACTAATTAAAATATTAACGATTTATCCGCAGTGTATAAATAATATGTAAAGATTTAAATTCTTTTTTAATCTACAAGACGATGTAATTAACAAATTAAATTTTTTGTAACTTTTGGATAAATTTAATCGAGAATTTTTCTTTTATCAACATTCATTGGCAACAAAATAAAATAAAAAAAAACAAAAAAGTTGTGAATATTATGTTTCAGAAGTAAACAATACTGTAAGATTTTTACACTTATTTTTAATTATTATATCTCTCTCCTAGGGCGATGAAAAGGAGAAAGACCAGGAGATGGAGCCCGAGGACAAGGAAGAGAAGTAGATGCGCAGCCGAAGCACCGGCCGTACGGTGGGCGAAACGCATACAACGCCCAACTATACGCATCGCGTATAATTAACGTCGCTTCGCCTACTGTACATTATTTTATTTACATTTATTAATATTTACATTTTAAGAGTCAGACTCGTAGTAGTTTCTGTATAATGAAATCATACAAATCCATTTGTCTTTCCCGTTTCTTTCAGTTGTCGATGGTCGCGCACCTCGAGGCAGTGTCTTGCGTTCTAATTATTTTATTATTTGTACGTCATTATAGATAGTTTAAGTCAAATTGGCGCGTGGCATACGTGTACACAGTGACTACATGGGGTTTTCAATCTTCTAAACACTTATATAAAAATCATATCTGTAAAAAAATACAACTTTAAGCTTTTGTGAATAGATTTTCATCAGTAAAAACTCTCGGATACATCGCATAGTCAAAGCCGTATTAATAACAAGGTAACGGGCCAATTTGAATTGAACTAAGTATATTTAGCTGTATGTTTGTTTGTTCGTGAATGTTGCGTATTGAGAATATTTTCCATTTTGTCGAGTCCTGGTTTTCGTTACGGTTTTGCTTATTTGATTTTTTATTCGATATAATAGGTGAAGGTTTAGAATTATAGGCATTACATATTCGATTTAATAATTAATTAAAAATTCGATTTTAAGGTACTTACAGGATTAGGTAATCTTAATTCAAAATATTGATTGTTAGTTCGTATGCACCGATTAGGTCTTGTCATTTCAAGATGTCTGCCAAATCTATAACTTATCGGCACGATAGGGAGCATCGCATGACGTATTCTTAATATTTAGTACCATTTTATTATTAAGAGAAAACCAACAATGGTCCCGATAAAGTAGTTAATATTCTTCATGTTGTGAAGTAGCTATTTAAATTAAATATTCTAGGATTATTGCTGCCGTACAAAAACGGTTTACAGTGGGTTTCTGATACCAAAACCTTTGTATAAATATGTTGTCATTTCTGACTTTCATCTTTGACGAGATAGATAACAATATGTTGTAAAAGGAGATTTTGGTCTTAGAAACCCACGATTAGTATCGTAATTTCTTATAGGTAATGTATTTAAAACGGAACAATGTTGTGTATTTCGACTGGTTTAATATCTCATTGTACTTGGTTTTACATTGTTGAATAAAAAATTTACAATTTACAAATTTTTGATAAAGAAAAAAAAATTAAAATTTCTGGAAGACTGTTTTTTCATATTAAGGTATTAATTACATAGTCCGTAATGTTTTGATATTGTATTCATTAAGGTTTATTATTAAATAAATTTGGTGTAAATGTTGTCGTGCGGGGATGCAGACGTAGCAGTTTTCGATTAGTCCAAATTAAAACATAACGACACATTAAAAGAAAAATGTAACTCTGGCTCAAATGCCAAGGATCTAGAACAGCACCATATTGTGTCGAATTTTAGCATAATTAAATTCAAGCCGCCATCTTGTAAACTTACGCCATTTTGTGAATAAGCTTTGGATCAAGCTTAGTGTGCGTCGCGCATTCCCATTTTATATTTTTTTTTTAAATATGTTATTTAACGATTTCTTTTTAATATATAAATTCTTCATCGACATTCCGTATTTAAAATCATCCCCAGTAGCGACTTTACATGTCTTGTAGGATTAAGTTAATATAAAAGGTCTTATTAGCATTGAGCATTTTAAAACAATAATAAAATTGACGAGAAATATCAGCTTTATATTTAAATCTTTAAAGCAAAATGCTCAATGAAATTAAAACCATTTAGATTTAATATAATTATAAGGGTTATAGACATAGTTTTAAGTAGTAATTTCACCAAATATTGGTTGAAGTTACGCATTTTTCAGTTTGTTTTAAATTTTTATTTCATGTTTTTTGGGGTAAGGTTGACAGTAAAGTCCCTCCCGACAACTGCAAAACATCACTGCCATAAGTAAGTTGAAATGTAGCTTAAATATTATGAAATGTAGCTTAAATATTATGAAATGTAGCTTAAATATTATTAAATGTAGCTTAAATATTATTAAATGTAGCTTAAATATTAACATTTAGTATAAGATTTAAACATCGCCGGTTAACGGAACGATTTTTAACATAAGTAACTATAAGTTTCCATTTAAGAAATACAAAATAGTTGTTTATTCTGTTATGGAAAACAGAAATATCAACATGTTTTTGTACAATTTCAGAAATGGAAACTCATAGAGTTTTAGGCTATGGCAAATTATTTCAGCTTATTAGTTTAACTTTTCGCTTCCGTTAGTTGGATGTTTGAATTTGTGTGTATGTAATTTGATAACAAAATATTTAGTATGGGATACGAATGGATGAGTGTTTGAACTTTAGAAACGCCATTTTCATCTTTTAAAACTATTTTGCTCGCTAAATCTGCTACTAATTAATATAAATAAGAGTTTCCATTGCCGAAACACTTGTACAAAGACTTCTCTATGTTTCTTTTTGAAGAAATTGAGATAGGCATATTTGTAGTGGTGTTCCAGCAATGAAAATATAGGTTAAGAATATAAAATAACCAGTCTAGATGTAAGGAATGTAAGGACGTAAAGAATGCCTGTAATATCGAATGCTCAACAACTCGCGACAAGATGACAACTGGGAAACGAAACATTAGATGAATGGATAATTTTAATATCTTTAATATAACATCTTAGATTTAATCTATCCATTTTAATCTCAATATTATGTAAGACTCATTAAGAGTCATTCATTCGTAGTGCTAATATACAAATTAAATCTTAGTTAAGTCTTATTCGAATATGTTTATATTAGGCGTGTAGTTATTGTTTTTAAGACGAAAAAAAAATTATGTAACTTTAATTAAATTGATATTGTTTGAAACATTTTTTCATTATATTCATTCGAAATTCATTGATTGTCATTTTTCTCATTATAATTAATGTATTTAATATATAAGTAATAGGTTAATTATACAATTATATAGAACATTATTGTTCGGCATTATGTCGTTTTTAACTGAGCTTTCAGTGGACGTATTGTTCTAGTAAGTTTTCAATGTAATATTCTGTCTAATTTAAAAATAAAGTGTATACCTTATTGATACTGCGAGTGCTCGGATTTATCAGAAGCTATTCTTATAAATCAGAGCAGAGCAGGTTTGTTTCATTTAAACGAATTCCTTTAAAACAAAACTATAAGTACAGTGAAGTTTGCTGTCGGTGTATCGCTTACATCCAACGCAACAATTGCGCGTGTTGTACACCTTTAATTACTACATCACACTATATAGTTCAAAAGTTACAAAATATGTAACTCGAAGTTTTTTTTAATGTGACATGGATAGTCCACTTTATTTTACTAGATGTGCCCTAAACTACGAGCGCGTGAAAGACTGTCTTCGGGTAGCAATGACTTAGGCTAATTATTTTACATAAAAATTTAAAACATTAACACCTTAAAAATAACTTTCAAGCTTCTGGCTGTAAAACAAATATCGACTTCCATACAAATTACCATCCACTACTACACTTTATCTGCTTTAAAAAGTACCCTATGCCCTTTCTCAGGGTCTAGACTATCAGTGTACCAAATTTCATTTAAATCTGTTGAGTAGTTTTGATGTGAATGCGAGACAGACAGACACAGTTACTTTCGCGTTTATAATATTAGTAAAGATTTATGGCAAGGGACGAAGTTTAAGTTCAATGCGAGGTGCAAGTAATTTTTTCTGTAACATGAATACCGCGAGAGAAGGCGACTGTACTTAATACAGTTCCTATCATAAATTGCGTATTTCTTACTAATATTATAAATACGATAATTTGATGTTTTTTACAAGTTATCTGCAGAACAGCTGAATCTGGAACAACAAATGAACGTTGTACGAGCGACAGTTCTAAAATAAGTTAATAAATATGAAATTTACCAAAAATGCACCCGCATAAAACAATGAAAATAAATTATAAAAGTTTAAAATACGAATCATTATAGTCATGTCGCAATTTAATGATAAGTTTAAGATAGTCCAACTCGGATCGATGAGTATCTTATTTTGGGATCCAAATGAATTCATAACACCACTGAATATAAAAGAGCTGATAAATTAAAAATAAATTTTATTATCCATATTTCTGATTTATAAAAGTAGGTTGTTGTCAGCTCTTATATGTCGTGTTAGATTTAGGGGTAACAAGGTCTTAGTTAACTTCTCGGTGCGTGGACATCCCGTGACCCTCACAGCACCTGAGGATGGCCACCGTAGGGTTTTTAGTGAGTAGGAATCTCACATAACCCTGTCTTTCCCCGAAAAGGCAGGGTATCTTTTTGAAGGTTTCAATAAAAGGCCGTAGCCAACCATACTGGTCCAGTGCACATTGATGGGCTTGACACATGCCTTATAGGGTAAAAATAAATCAATTTAATCAAAATATGAAAAGGAATTAATGTTTAGAGCGTTTCACATGGTTAAATTTCGCTGTCATCTGCGACAGCTTGTAAGGCTTGAAATATGCCCGCGGAAGACTTCGTACGTATGACAAACAGGTTTAAGGTTATACCGAGCCGTTTGCCTTTAAAAGACAATCAGGAGATTTCACGACATTTTTTTGTTTTATCCATAAAAAATGGATGGGATCGAGGAAAGGACACCAAGTTTTTACCTACTATTTCAACGCAGCGCCATCTACTAACTAAATCATGGACTACTGCAAAAAAATTATCGAACAGCGCCATCTAGTTTTTATAAGGAATATTACTAGCAAGACTATGAGACTGAGGAAAACACTAATGGCACAATAGATGGCGATAGTTTGTTTAATCATACGTTTTTGCATACTATCTAAAGCAGCTTTAATAAGGATTTTAAAATAAAGGTTTTGCTTGAGGTTGTGGAAAGGCAGCTCTTGTGGCGTCTGTATAATACGTAAGGTTTTTTTTATGTTATAAGGTGACATGCATTTTTTTAAAGTTTCATAATTATGGGAGCATTGGTTTAAGTAATTTTACTAAAAGTGGTCGCAGACGATAGCGAAAGGTAGCGTTGCCACTTAGCGTACGAGGAACAGAGGGGTTTACTGGATATACTTTATCGGGGACAAAATCCCACATAACTACCGTGTCCCTCCCCGGGATGCGGTGTATGCAGTATACATAAAACATTCTACTCTGAATAAAAAAATAGTTACGCTTTTCCTTTTTAAACACCTTTGAGTATATTGTACTTGTAACTTATAGACTAGAAGTTAATTTGCGACTTCATTGTGGCGAATATTCTCGACAGTATATCATTAATTAATTATGTAAACCTCCATGCTTATTTGTTCTCTATATAATAAATTGAAAACTTCGACTAATAATACAAATATCGAAGATTGAAAACAGAATAATAGAATGCTTTTTTTAATGCTTCCGATCGCGGATGTTTGTTTAGGAAAGGTTTGTTTGCGATGTAATAAAAAGCATAAAATTCTTGTGATATTTTTATCGTAAGAATGAAACGAGAACATATTTAGTTAAACCGCAGTCGGATAAAATGTCGGACTAATTGTTGTACTCAGGGCTGTCACATCTTCGGATTTAACGTTGCGATGGGTTATGTTTTACATTGTGAATGTCTATTACTTATTTAAAAAAAAAAAACGATAAATTGCATACAGGATAAATTTTAAGACTATGGGTATGATAGGCTTCAAAGTGGTTAGATATGTCACTATAGACGCAAATGAAACATAGGTTGCCAAATACCTTTCGTCGTTTCTAAATCACTGGGCATAAATCAAATAAAATTGTGACAGCACACTACCGCACTTCTGTCAACGTCAAAAAATGCCTCAAGTTCTTTTTTTGTACAATAGCTGTCAGGTCATTTTCTATGTCTAAATAGTTTTTAGAGCTGGATCTGCGCGAGCTACAAGCGACGGACTGGCAGGAGAAGGCGCAAGACAGGCGACTTCGACGATCTCTTGTGTCAGTGGCCAAGACCCACTTTGGGTCGATGCGCCAGCGGAGTAAGTAGTAGTAAATAATTTTTATATGTAATCTGACAGAACAAATTACGATAGTAGCGCCTCTCTTACCGGTTTAGAAATTCTTGTTTGCTTATACATTTATTAAAAGTTGACAACCCTAGTTATACTTGCATCGCAATAATTCAAATAAGCTCAGAGCAATAAGTTCAGTTTATTAAAATTTGCTATCGTTGGAGTCTGCGAATTGTGAAAAGTATAAATCAAGCACGAATTGTATTCAACGGTAGAGGTTCCGTACTTAAAATAGCCACATAGGTCAAGGGTTCTATTATTTTATAACGGAATCAAGGATATACTAAAAATATTTTTTATTTGTAATTTAATAATTAGATAATACTTATAAATAGTTTTATTTCTTATCATACTGACCTTAACAATCATATAAAAATGCAAATAAATTTCGTTGCTTTCGCTCGAATTTTATAGCCGATGTTCGTTAAACGGATTTTATTTAGGTGAGACGCGCTTGATAAAGTTAATTGACTTCCGATTGTTTACTTCGAATTGGAGTCAAAAGTGTTTTTCAATATTTATGGTTTTAGTGAAAATATTTATTTTAAACTAAATATTTAGTTGAAACAATGCAGTGCATTACTAACATCAAAATAATATCAAGTAATGTCTTAATGGAAATAAATAGTTGCAAAATAGAAAAAAATAGGTTTAGTTTTTTGGGACACAAACGATTTCTGTCATCCTCGGAACAATCTCCCAAACATCAAAATATGTTTAGTGGAAGTTAATAAATGGAAGATTTTAAAGGTACGCGTACACTGGCCTGCGTTGGATTGCTTGTTAATAAATGTCGTCTAGGAGCTTCGGTGGCTCAGTGGTCAAGCACTTGACTTGCACTCTGCAGGTCCTCGGTTCGAACCAGCCATGTACCAATGTGTTTTTCGATTTCCGATTTACATACGAGTATGTACATTTATCCGACGTTCTTACGGTGAGGCAACCTGCACATATCTGAGAAGAAATTCAAAGATATGTGTGAAGTCAACCAACCCGCACTTGGTCAGCGTGGCCTAATCACCCTTAACTTAGGGTAGGCTCCGAGACCCTCGGTGGGGACGTATAGTGAGATGATGAACTGTCGGTACGTCCAGCGCGGGCTAATGGACGCGTACCTTAACAGTAGGACACGGACAGGAATTGTATAACAAACTAAAAGTACACATCAAAAGCTCCCGGCATGCAATATTACACGATATTAAACGCGGAAGCGTATTTAATTAATAAAAGTTTATCGGACTAACTCTTGCTACGAGTTAACTGTGAATTCAACAGTTCTCGGCCCTCCGTTACTTGCATTCAAAATAATTCATGCGTCTCTAATATCAGAGAGCGTATTTGTGCAAAATAAATATCTTTCACTGGACATACTACGTGCCAGGTTATATTATTTATGTCAATAGTAGCCTCGTATGCGAGTGATTTATAATACTGTTGGTAATAGATTTTTTATTAGTATTTTCAAAATAAAAAATTGATTGTCTTTTATTCCAAACAAACAAAAGAACTATTGGAAGGGAGAGAAACGGTGAAGAGTATGCTTAAAAATACGACGGCTCCTATGTAGGCTCGTGTCTGCTTTTTTATACGAGAAGGGGGTGAACGAGCGGCGGAAACTACGGCGTGATCCACGACACCAATGGCACATCTGTAGCAAAATTAGGGAGATTTTTTTTTCAATTATAATTATATGAATATAAGGCATCGATGTTAGCGAACAAATATTCAACAGCGCTCATTACAGATGAGAAGTTCTGCGCTATTTGTAACTCGACGAATACCTTTCGATTGTGGTTCAGTCGGGCGTGTATCCCAAAACGTTACCACTTTAACTTGATCCACGAAAAGAATCGTATTACACGGCACATACATGTCTACTGAACTTATTGGACGTGAATGGATCCAACTTGATATTAATGTTAAAAATGACAATCGTACTTTGCTTGAAATAGGAATTTTCTGTTAACCACAATTCTACTGCTTTTGATTTTCCAAATCACGTTAATACTTGTAGAAAATTAATCCTCTAGATATTGTTAGCTGCTGGCTGGTTGT